GGCCATAGCCCCCTATTGGCCCAATACGTTTTGCGTGAACTGCCGACGTAGCGGCGCACAGAGAACTCCGGAATTCCGAATGCCCAACCCAGGTATGCGGCGGCCTGCGCCACGTTGCGGCCCCCAACGGCCTAACTTGTCTGGACCATCTCCACCACGGAGGGATTTTCCCGTAACCCGCCGCCCACAGTGTCCCGGCCCCTTCGGACTGTGAGACCCTTGCTCGCACCCCTCGCCTAATTGCATTCGTACCCTTAAGACTCCCCCACTTCCCCAAAAATCCTTGGCACACCCCTTTTCGCACTTCCAGGCCCACATCCCACTCCGATCAGGAAGTCGCGCTGGGCGTGAGGTTGGTATCGGAGCCCGACACGTGGCCAGGGTCTTAGGATTGATAGCACGTTAATTAGGCGACCTGGCTAACCGTGGGCGACCTCGCCCCCGGAACGCGCATAGACGCGACCCTATCATCACCCGACGCAGATTGGCTAATCAACGAGCAGCCAATATGGTTGCCAATGCGCAGAACCCGGTTCCGCAACAAATTGCTAACCCACCAAATCAACCTGCCCCACGTGCACGAGCTCCCATGACGCCACCTGATCTCTATTTGTTTGATCCCGCACACCATCTCGCAGGAGCATGGCTGGCCACACTTAGAGCCCAACAGTACACTTACAACGAAGCAAAGATTAACATTCCACCTCGAATGGGAGGAGACGCTCATCATTGGTTTAGCACCTATGTATCGGTGGATCTCCCGACCTTTGAGCGGGACTTTATGAACCGATTCGATTATGTTCACCCTGAGCAAGCACTGTACATGATCAAGGACTGAGTGCAAGAACCGCTCGAATCCATCGCGGAATATCGAAACCGGTTCTACAGAATGTTCGTAAAAATTGAGCGAGGGGAGCAAGTAGGGAGAGATCTGTTCATTGACGGACTCCGCAGCCGGACAATAAGGGCTAAGTTGCGTAAGCAATTTTCCCCCATCACTCACACGCTACAACAGATTATGGCTACTGCGGAAGAAATGGAAAGGAAGTTCGCGGCGAACTTCCTGGAAGGAGAAGACTACCCTAGAGACAGAGATTCGACCGAGCTCGCACGAGCGAGAGCGGAGTTGGCTGCTTTGCAGAATAAGTTTGAAAACATGGGGTTTGTATCAGGACCTGTTACCTATATGGAACAGATAGGCCCCAAACGGGTAATCCTAAGCGAGACTCCGAGCATCTCTGCTCCTATGACGCCCCCACCCGTCAGGACATTACCCCCTCCGCCGGTTGAGGCTCCTATACGATCAAACGAATCGGCGGCCATTTTCGAACTAACCAAAACTTTGATTAGTTTGATCCAAGAAAGCAAAAAGGAGCAACTAGAGCACAATGCTCGGTTGGAAGCCATGATGAGGAACATGCGACCCATTGCGGTGGGTGCCCCTCTGATGCAACAAGGATTAGCCCCAGCCCCTGCTCTCGGGGGAGCTGCGAACAATCTGAATGTCTGCTACGCCTGTCATCAGCCCGGACATCTAGCCCGTGATTGCCCCCATCGACCCCCACAACAACGGATCGGAGCCGCACCTATGGCTGCAGCTCCCATCGCCAACGGACCTGGACGAGTCGGAGCCCTGATGGAAGAAATAGAGGGTGGGGGAATTGCCCTGGCTACCTCGGAAGAGGCCGCCGAGCTAATCCCGCTAGACCAGTACGTATCGCTAGGATATCCTGGGCTTGGAATGATCGGAATAATCCGACCAGCACCGGAACCGAAAGAGGTGGCGGAATGGCGACCGTCCCTAGGAGAAATGGAATCGGGAGGACCCACCTTCGTCACAGGGGAGATCGGTGTATTAAACATCATCCGAGCTTTGGACCATCGGATTCCCCTTCCGATTGGTCATCTACTCTCTATCTCCGAGCAAGCCAACGAGCGAATGTTACAGCATTGCAAAGCAAACCGAAAGTGATTCGCCTTTGCCCGAACCCCGAACGCGAAAGCCAAAAGCCCCGCGCCCGAAGAAAACCCCGCAAGAACGTCGGATCCGATACAGGTAGGTTTAATCCAGAAAGATGATCATTTCCTGCGGATTAAACCAATTCCGTGGAAATCTGTCGAGTGCGATATAAAAATTTGGGGAATTCCTTACAATGCCATTATAGATTCGGGAGCAGCTGTGTTGGCTATCTCACTGAGAGTGGTCGAAAGGACAGGTAGGAAAAACGACCTGATCACGCTTTCTGAGAAAGATCAGCTCGTTTCGGCTGACGAAGAAAGAATTAAAATCGTGGGAAGAATGACCAATGTCGCTTTTCGATTGGGTAAAGTGCATGTGCTTGGGGATGTTGTAGTACTAGATGTCAATACGTACGACGTTCTCTTCGGACTTCCCGCTCTTGTGGCATTACGAGCAAGCCTGGACTTCGAACGACGATCGATCATCCTCCGAAATACAGGAGGAAAACCCTACGCTGTGCCCATGCGATCGACCCTTCACACTACTATTAACGCGGTTCCGCGGGTTTCGCCGATGATGGTAGGGACTCTCCGCATGATATCCTGGGAGAAATCCGTAGAAGAGAAGTCATCAACAGATGATGCGGAAAGCAGTGACGAGGATGATCCGAAGATCTTGAAATTGGCACGACAACGTGTTTGTTACCCGCCACCCAAAACGATAGCAAGAACGATGCAACTAACCAGCCGAAAAATTCAAAGGACCAAGGCGATGATCTTGGGTGAGCCCCTCGTGCAGATTTCGAGGATGGTCGTTTCTTTGGAACCCCCTCAAACTCTGTACGAAGGAATCACCCCTCTCCTCCCCCGGTACAGCGACAAGAAGCATTACTGTGACATTACGAATCTACCCAAGTCCTTACTAACCTCGGCTAAAGAAGTGAGATTGTTACGCTTGGGGGCGAAAGCAAGCTCTCTGGAACCCCCTGGACGATTTGAAGCGGAAACAGACGGACTGGGGATAAAGATCGCAACTAAGGAAGTGTCATGGCAAGATGTTTGTGACGGGATTACCCCGGAAGAACACGTGGCAATCCGAGAAGAAGATGCTCAGATGATGGCCACGATGTTCTCCTGGCGATCGGATCATTCATTCATCTCGGCGCCCCCACCTGACTTGACAAAACAGGCGAACACGAAACAGATTGACGTTCGGATCTAGGATCAGCTTTTTGAACTACACGTTCCACAATATGTGCCGGATGAAATCCACCGGGTAATTGCGGATATTCTAACGGAATATCAAGGAGCGATTAGTGTGTCAGACACTGACATTGGGTTGTCAGACCCCAATTCATTGCAAACCTTGTCGCTATTCCTTGATTGAACGTAAAAAGGCTCTCGAACGAATTCGGGAGTTCGAAGCCAGCGGCTGGATTGAACCCGCTACCGGACCTTGGTCCTTTCCCGTAGTGTTAGTACCAAAGAAGAACGGAGCGATTCGCATTAGCATTGATTATCGCAAGCTGAATGAAATCACGATCAAAGATGTGTATCCCCTCCCCCGGATTGATGATCTGTTGGATGCGATTGGATGCGCTAATTATCTCAGCAAGTTTGATATTCGGCATGGCTTCCATCATATTCTAGTAAGGGAAAAAGATCGGCCGAAAACTGCCTTTGTGTTGTTTGAGGGCACGTGGCAGTGGATTCGGTGTCCGATGGGGATTTGCAATGCGCCTGCCACGTTTCAGCGAGCGATGAACATGACGTTCCAGAACTTCGTCAGCAAGACACGGCTGACACAAGGAATGATTAACTTCTGTGTGATCGTGTACATGGACGACATCCTGGTCTATTCGGAAACCTATCACGGGCACGCGCAACACATCGAATGGACATTGGGTGCATTGAGAGACGCTGGGTTCAAGATTGCGCTTGAGAAGAGCGAATTTTTCCTCTCGGAAATTTCGTTCTTGGGCTATGTCGTGACACGTGGAGGATTGCGGCCAGATTCGAGAAAAGTTGCGGCGGTGAAGGAAGCTCCGGTTCCTACGTCGTTGACGCAGGTTCGAGCCTTCTTGGGACTGGCGTCGTACTACCGGCGCTTCATCAAGGGCTTTGCCGCGATTGCACGACCACTAACGAATCTGTTACGGAAGGACCAGCCTCTCAGCTGGGACGCGGAGTGCCAGCAGGCCTTTGCGACCCTCAAGGACGCTCTGGCAACAACCCCTATTTTGATTCGGCCGGACCCCTCGAAGCAATTCATTCTCATCATGGACTGGCAACCGGAGGCTATTTCCGCTATTCTAGCGCAGAAGGGGGACGATGGGCGTGAACACGTCATCGAATACGTGTCGCGCACCGTACCAGACGAACGAAGAAACGACTCCGCACCTCAAGGCGAATGCTACACAGTAGTCTGGGGAATCCAACACTTCCATCCGTATCTCTACGGACAGAAGTTTCGCCTCATGACGGATCACAAACCCTTGTTGGCGTTGAAGAAACTCACCAACTACACGGGCATGATTGGCCGATGGGCGGTGCGACTGCAAGAATACGACTTCGATATTGTCCATCGAAAGACAGAGCGACACGGCAACGCGGACGGGCTGACACGTCTGCATCGACCTGCCAAGGTACCAAAGGGCGAGGAAATTACACCGTGGAAAGAGCCGGACTTGACCAACGAGCCAAGTGGCAGTTCTCCCACTTGGCAAGAAGCAAAACGGTGGCGATGGTTGATGGAGGTAACCTCACTACCCCTCTTTCTCCCCCGTCCTCCTCGTCCTTTCCCTCCCTCCCTGACAAATTTTGCTATTTTTGCGAAGCTATCTCCCGCGTCTATTCGGTCTCCATGTGTCCTAACGAGGTGGGATATGCGGATTGGATAGATTGCCGACAGTGTGTTGTACGGGCCCACGGCTCGTGCATCCAATACAGGAACGATAGTAAACCATGGCTGTGCCCCTTGTGCCGAACCGACAAAATTCCGACCGAGGCTCGCTTTTTGGATGCCATGTCAGAAGGATTGGAAAATACCTGAAAGTTTAGAAGGGCCGAAGTATGGACGGATATTGCCTTAATTGCCACCCTAGTAGGTAACCCCCTCCAGGATTTCACCAAGGAAGATCGGAGGAGGGCCAACGAAAGGGCTCGGGACTATCGCTGGGTAGAAGGTAGATTAGAAAAATGAAAAACGGACAGCGGTGGGATTTGGATGGTAGTGCCGCATCCGTTCATGAGGTATGACTGGGTTAAGACAACCCACGAGGAAACTGCGGCCCATTTTGCCGTACGAATCACGGAGTCCACTATCGACAAAAATGACTGGTACTGGTCCAATATCCGTGACGATGTGAAGTACATCGTCGCCAACTGTCAAGTCTGCGCCGCTAATAAAGCGCCGATTCAGCCACCAAGGTCGATAGTGCCCACGGTTGTTGAACGGTCATTTCAGAAAGTAAGCATGGACACTACCGACATAGTGGTGCCCCCTGGCCCTAATAGTTGCGAATACTCAGTCCTATTAGTATTTGTTGACCATTTCTCGAAATGGATTGAAGTGTATCCTTGTCGCACGCGGCAAGGCACGAAAATCGCACGATATGTCAACCGTTTCCTCCGGATGCATCAGGATATGGAAGAGATCCTGACCGACAACGGGGCTGAATTCAGGGGAGAAGTGTTAAGGAATCTGGTCCTACATGGCATCGCCATACGGAACACTGCACCCCACATGTCACAATCCAATGGGCTGGTCGAAAATGCTAACCGGGTGATAAAGACAGCGTTGCGACGAAACATGGCAGCACGGGATCCGAGACCCTGGCCCGATATCATCGATCATATCTTGGCGGTCCATCGCGGAACGCCCCACGAATCGACGAGGCTGAGCCCCTTTCAATTAAGGACCAATAGCGTCGCTTGCGTTTCAATACCAAGCCTCTCGGATGAGTCTACATTGAACTGGCGGCCCACCAGGGCCATGGCTCGGAACAAGGCCAAACGACACCTAGAGTTAATGGAACGGTCGCTGCCTAGGCTAGCCCGAAAGCGGCAGAAAATGACCGAACTAGCCCAAGGCCGACAGGTCCGGAGCTACGAGGCCCGAAATGGGAATGCAGGTCCGCGGCCCCAGTACAAATTGGGGGAGGTGGTGCAGGTGAGGAAATGTGCTCGCCAGGGTAAGCTAGCGCCACGATTCTTCGGGCGATACCGCATGATCGAGCTCGGCCCCAACGGCGTGGACATTGTGTGTCTCGCCCTTGAAGTCTCTGGCAGCCCATCGGCACGCCCGATCACCCGCCACGTGTCCTATCTTCGCCTCCTCCCCTCTGTTCCGTCCCCTTCTCCCTCGATCTCTCATTCTGAGGAAGCCGAAGATGACGGCTCTGACTCTCCACCATCTCCCTCTTTATCTTGCTCCCTCCCTGTCTCCCCGTCGCATTCGCCATCGCCATGAGCTTTCTGGAGGAGAAAGCCCTCAGCGAAGCATCGCTTACGCCCCGTGATCTGTTGACGATCCGACAAGTCCATCATCCCCGCCTCAGTCCAGATCTTCGGCGGCTTGTGCACTTCTTCTGCACGGAAGGCGTGTATGCAGCGGCGGTGTTCATAATTGAAGGTCGTCCTGACGCGGTGGTACTGGCCGAGGTGGTAGCAGTTCATCAGCGGGCGGTGCCAGGTGTCAGTCGCATATCGGTCGTCATCAACTTCAGTGGCGATCTCTCCACACTTCTTCCTTTGCGACATTCGGTGGTGAAGGCATCGCTGAGCATGTGGGCGAACGATCTGGTCGCCGAGTGGACTCAGCTGCTGGCTCGCCACGAGGATACAATCGCGACGTCACGAGCAATTGAATACGACGGCCTTCGGATGTACCAGTGCGATTCGCCGGCAGAGCTCCCTGTCCTCGTACCCTTCCCCCATCCCCGATGAGTCTCTCTCCGATCTTCGTTTTTGATCTCCCCTCCACCTTCCCCACCTTCTGGCAGTCCGATATCCATCCTCACCTTTCCTACTATCTAAAGCCCCTTGCTGTCCCCGATATCCATCCTCCCCATTGGGTCCTGTGGCGCGAAGACTTCATCGAGCTTTCATTGTGCTTGGTTGAGGTATGGCTGACGTGGATCGAGGACGAAGCGCACCCGCCTTGCATAGAGCGCCTAGAGTTGCTGTTCATCCAGGCCTGGCGAACCAACGTGGAGGGAGAGCTCCTCGCATTTCTATTCGGTACAGTGTGGCCCGGTCATCAGAAACTCATCATGCAAGAGCTCACGATCCCGGTAGCGCAGCTGGCGGATGATCTCCCCCTCGACATCATCTCGCAAGATGACGAGCATCCAATTCGCCATGTACTTTCTCGCGCATTGACGCCCTATCTTCAGTGGTCGGCTTGTGTAGAGGGAGCCGCAGAGCGCATCCCGTCGTCGCAGCAACAATATCTGGATCCCCGGACGGCTCGCGATCGTGCCTTCTTCAGGCATCCTACGGCGGAGAAGCTTGCGGCCATTCGAAAAGAAGAGGAGGAGGAAGAGAGTACCGGGAGTGACGAAGACGGCGACGGACGGGAAGAAGGTGGGAATAGCGACGAAGAGCTCGGGGAAGAAGACGAAACCCCCGAAGAAGGAAGCTATAGCGAGCATAGCGAGGGGGAACAGAGCGAAGAAGAAGAAGAAAGCGAGGAAGGAGAAGAGGAGCACGACGAAGAGCCTGCTGGATCGGAGTGGGAAGCCGTGCCAGAAGAAGCGCTGTGTACGGGTACGGAGGCTGAGGATCCCGAGGCGGCCCGCAAAAAAGGAGAGATCGCGGTCGGGAAGAAGGAGTTGGAATTCACAAGCGCGGAGAGTCTGCGCATCCACGACAACCCAAGCCGGGATCCGGAGCCGCCCCGGCCTGAAGATGGCGACCTCACAGCCACGACTCCTACCCCATCACCCCGGCGACGGAGCCGATCCCCCTCCTCCTCAACCCGTCCCCCAGTTCCCCGATGTACCGATACGGGCGATCGACCTTCATTCCCGATCACTCTCTCGCCGTCCCCTTGACTATCTCGCCCTCCGCCAGCTCACCACTCCCATTATGTTCCCCTCCAATCCGTTTCCTCGCGACACCTTCCGCCATTTCTACGCTGCTCGCCTCGCTACAGTGGTGCACCCCCACCCCTCCATTCGATGTGTCGTCCCAGCCTTATGCCTCTATGCCCTGCTCCTTAGTGTCGCGTGGCGAGCCCACAACATGATCGAGGTTTACTGCATGATAACGGGGACCATCCCCGCATGCAAAGATCTCGATTGTTTCCGCGCAGCACTTTTCCGAACTCTCACCTTCCTCTATCCTGATTATCTCGCATCCCTCCCTCGCACTGGCAATCGCTTCCCCCGCTTTCACCGGATCGTTCGCTACCAAGAGCTTTCAGAGACTGTAGTCGGAATGGAAGGCCTTCTGCCCCCGCTACCCATAAACCCTCCACCCCGCCATGCTGCCATGCACCGACTCCCTTTTCCTCTCCCGATTAATTACTGATGCAACCGGTAATGGACGTGTGTCGCGGCGACGGCACGAGAAAGATCCCGTCCTTGGGTCGTCGAGAGCCCAATCTGAGCAACTAGTAGAAGAGCGGTGTTGCCACGTTGGATGACGTCCACATACAATCAAACGGTAAGTGGCATAGAAGAAAGTGCTCCGTGTGTCGATCAAGTAAAGGAATCGATACGTGTCAGCAAGCAAGCAGGAACTTGCTAATATTGGAACCCCCTGGGCGTCACATATGTGACGAACCATTTTCTATGACGCGCGATTTTTCTGTGCGGTTGCAACGAGGGGTCCTAAGCTGGGAAGATTGGGCCACTTACGGGAAATCGGGATCGGTGAAAAAATTGCATCAGTACCTTTGCTTTTTCATCTTTTTCGTCGCTTCTTGTCGAATGACTGGGTTCGGAGATGGGTGTGTCTTGGGACAGTCGGTTGATTAGTTGGTCGGATAGATGTCTGCCGCGTCGCTCCGTGTGCGCGCGATTAATAAATGTTAATGTCGTTTCTTTCGATTCGATTTCGATCTTTTGGGTGCGGACATCGTGCGGGAAATTGCTTCGTTCTTTCGATTCGATTTCGATCTTTTTCGGATTTTGTCGAGCCCCCGATGGCTCTCGGAATTTCGGACTTTCCTTTTGGAACTTATGCTTTTTGCTTTTTTGCATTAGATAGGAATTTAGGAATTCAGTAATTAGGACTTTTTCTGCTGCGCGGCGCCTTTTGTCTACGGGCTTCTTCATGCGGCTGCAACGGTACTCTGATTAGTGGGCGCCCTTAATCGTGTGTGTAGCTGTAATTTTGGGCGGGCGCCATTGTAACTGTAGCTTTGTTCTTGCACTTCGTCTCTCCCCCCCCCCCTCTCTTTCTTTTGTTAAATTTTTGTAGGTCGCGGCTTGCATGCTCGGATCGATGCATGGAGAAGGGTTACGTCCCCCACGCCGCGGCCCGATAATGCAGAACGAAGGCACTCCCTCTCTAATCTTTACTCTAAGTCTTGGTAATTTCGTGATCTTCGCACATGCATGCACGCTATAAATTTTGGTTGTGCGATTAGTCAGCTCTCTTAACCCGTTGTTGGAAGCTCGGGGTTGCGCGATCAGGAAGGGTCGGCACACGAGCTAAGTAAGAGGTGAGTAGAGTAGGAGTTGGGCGACCCGACGGGCTGGTGCCGAACGCATGGGATTGACGTGGGCCACGACGGACTGTGGGCACGGACGAATCCGACGGGTGCGGGAGGACTAAGCGGGGTGACAACTTCGTGGGTTGGTGCGTGACGACGGACTGTTCGCATCGGAGAGAAAGAGAGAGAGAGGAGAGAGTCGAGGTCGATGGACGCGGATTTGCTGTTTTCTTGTCTCTTACCCCTCTTCATCTTTGTACATACATTTTGATTGCGGCTCCGGGCGGTTTGCCCGTTCTTATTTTCGTTTCGGCTTTCTGAAATCTGGGCTTGGGTTTTTGCTCACACT